AACTTTGTAGACGATATTCATTGTAAGAATACATTTTAAAATTGCATCTCCCTAAGTATAAAAATAGAACAAACAAATTTAAAGAAATCTTACTAGGATAATGTTCTTAATTTCATTTAGGCTGTAGTAAATGATTTGTATGATTTTGAATAATTATATTATGCAAAGCCAAGGATTTCCACAGCATATTATTTGTACTCTAATTTTTTAAACTTGAAAAATTAAAATTGCTGAGTGACTGTAGGAACTGAGTTTTGTGATTGTAGTCTCATTCATATTTGAATAGCTGAATGAATATCTATAGAATAAATGGGGCCATTAGATGAAAATGTAAATTGTTTTCTATGGTTTGATGTTTGATTTTATATTGTCCTTAGAAAAGTCTTTTAATAACCACGTGTTATCACCTCCTATCATCAACGTGCATTTGGAGAAATCTGCCTTTTCTCAGTCACAGATCAGAAGAATTCCAGTCATCAAATTACTTTGATGCATTTAAGCTACTTTTTCTTAGAAGAGGGCTCAGATGCTTCCCTGCTGAGAGTCAAACACATTTTCAACCCCATTATAATAGCATTTTCACTGACTGAGCTTCAGCAGCCTGGCACTGAGGCACTAAGGAAGGTTGACCTACAAACTGTAAGTCATTAAAACCTCTACCCCTCCTGGCTACTATCTTCATTACTTTTGGGACTGGTTAATAGCATTTAATGCTTCCTGATGGGACAGCCCTTTTCATAAAATTCTTTTTATGAAGTCCATTCTTCAGTTGTGTTCTAATGCTGCCTCTTCTGCTGGTTATTTTGGGGTGAGGATATTAAAAAGTTGGTAGCTAAATAAATTCTGTGGTTATTACATATTCCTACCCATCTGATTTCTCAGCTGGGCTGAAGGAGCATTATGTTTTTTTTTTCTGAACTCAAATCTAGGGCAACAAGACCTGTTGATTACTTTACATTACCTTTAATCTCCATCTCTGATATTACTACCTGACAATAGAAAGCGTGTTTTCAGATACTCTGATTTTCAGATCGACCCGAATCCATTTTTTGGGATGGATATCATTCTGTTATGAATAAACTCAGCTGTTAGACCTCACTTGATTGTAAGGCCTTGCACTGGCACTCTTAGTCCCATGTTTAGTTTCCATCATGTCTAATCCTCTTCCTGACAGAACTGCACATCAGTGCTCTGCCTTCCACTAATTGCATCCTAAGTTTGTTGGTGCTTTGGTTACTTTAGACTTTTTATGCTCTGTGACTTTATTAGGAGAGCAAAGCAAGGCAAGCATAGCAAAACAATTACATTAATTCAGGCTTCTCATTCAAACTCATCTTTTGTGTTGCAGATCCTTTGAAAATGTCCTAAAAAAATTACTATCTTGTCTTAACATCTCCCATGACTGCTAAGCCTCCCTTACAGGTTTTGGATTTGGTAAACTCTCATGGACTAAGTGATTCTCCCTGCTATCTCTGTTTTCTTCCTTTTTCTTCTCTTTTGCTAAGAGAAAGCCTTCTTTCTCATAAAAATGTAATTTTAAAAAAAAGTTATTTTTGACTCATTCATTGATGGGGCATTCTGCTCTTCCAGTGACATTTCTTTGTGGAAAGCACTCACTTGTCAAAGATTTGAGGTCAGTGACACTCCTTGTTGTTCTTTCCAAGGTGTGACTGCCATGAAGAATCAAGATAATTTAGGATAAATGCTCAATTGTTGCAAGATATCTTAATATCTTAAGTATCTTAATATGTCTGTGTGAAAGCTGGGTACAACTCAACCACACTGGGAGTTCATTCTTTCACAGAGGCATTTCCTCAGCGTCTCCAACAATTCCAGTTGGTTTTAATTTATTACTTAGGACCCTAAAAGAACAACTGCTGTAAACATTGTCAATCGTAGGTGTTTGTTACAAAGAATTAATTCCTAGAACAGTTCTCTGGGCAGGACTTGGCAGACCATATCTGCAAGCCCACAATGGTGTTACATATCTGACATTGCTGCAGCTTAGGCTGCTTTTGAGTTAGCTGGATTTTCTCTATCACTTCTGTTCTTCTTGTGAATAAGAATACTTAGAAAACTAGAGATGCAAGTGAAGAAATTTTAAGGTTGTCTGACTGATTTTTTTTTTAAATTTATTTATTTCTATTTAGGTCAGTGAAATTTCTCTTAATTTTGACAGTTTAAGAGTGTCCCTAAAGGCGACAGCTTATCATTTAACATGTCCACCATTTCAGATACCAATTTTTCCTGGCCATTCTCTCAAATCCATTTCCACCCATTTGCTAAGCAAACTCTTCTGAGCACTGTTTTGTTGGATGTATTTCTTTTTATTTAATTAGTTGCATTTTTTTTTAAACACATATTAACAATTTATTGGAGAAACTTACTTCTAGAAATGCCTATTAGTTGGAAAGGAGGGATTTTTCTCAGGCAGGCAGACTGCAGCTGAACATCACTCTTAGACAGAGGTAACTTCATTGGATTAGATCAGTTCTCCATCCAGTCCAATACCTGGAACTGGAAATGAGCAAAAACTGGATGAAGAAAGAAAAGAAAAACTGTAAGACTAGAGAGAGTGTGCAGGTCTGCAGTTCTTTGAACATTATGTAGAACTATCTTTTGCATTTTCCTCTGCATATTGTATTAATTTTTAAACAAGGCTGTACACTTGGAAAGGGAAAGGACAGAAGTTGCATGTTTCCAGCAGCAGGTCATAATTCTGTCACTACTCGATTTACACTGGTCAATACTTGTTGAACATGTAAAACTACTTACAGCATCCAAATTTCATGTGAGTGATGTATATTTGTTTTTCCTTAAAAGAAATGTTTTCCAATACAATTCCTTTAAGACTTCTTAAATGCAGTTGCTTTCAAAGTTATCAACAGAATATTGAGTTCTACAAGTTCATCTTTTTGATTTTGACATATTCCTTTTATATTCCTTATAAAATATGGTATTTGCACTTTCTAAGACAGATCTAATTTATTTGCATTGCCATAAGATTGGTTTATGTTGCATCACAGGCATGTAAATCTTTGCAGAATTACTGTACAACCTTTTTGTCAGAGAGAAGGACCTAGCAATGCCCCAAAGCCACAGCAGTAAGGCAGTAATAGAGAAATCACCATAATTACAGTATTTACCTTCACATGTTCAGCCAGCAAGGCCTAAAAGTTGTGATTTTTTAAATTTTATTTTTTTCAAATTCAAGGCTTCTTTTAAAATTTGATGCTAAATGAGGATTGAAATCAATTCATATTTCAAGTTTTAAAAATTGTATACATCAGTACTTCCATTTGCTTGCTTTTTTTATTAGGGCTGTGCTAAGCAATATTTGTTATATTTCTTTATTTGCACACTGAAAAAAATTAAACACAGTGATATACATCTGACTGCCAACTGGATTTGAGCTGGATTTCATTTTATCTGTCCAACTGATGAATTCATTCAAGAAATACCTGTTCTAACATTGACATGCAACATATGTACAAAGGAGAAATGAAGTAATGAAGCACTGCTTAAAACCTGGCAGAGAAAGCAAAGTGGGAAGTTTTGTTTGTTGTTTTGGGGGTTCATTATTATTTTTTCAATTAAAAAGTTATCAAGAGATGAGTATTACAGAAGGAAACCTTCTAATACTGTATTACCATTCAATTTCTGATTAAAATCTTTTAAGTCTCACATGGCATGGTAATTAATGTTCACAGATCCAATGACGGTATAAAAATGTCTGAGTCAATTTCTTTGTTATATGACTAAGTTATTTCTATTTGGTCTGAATATTATGTGGATTCAGAGGTATTCCTAAGGTATACAACTCTTGCTTTTGAAGGACTGAAAGGTACTGTTATGGACATGGTGCAACCCCAAAAAACAAGGAAAGAGGAAAAATGCTTTGCATTATCACAATTGGGAGCTGGTTAATAATCCAACTCTTGAGCAAAAGCAAAGCTCTGTTCAATTGGCAAAATCACTGGATAATTTAGATGACGTGAGGTCACCTAAGTCTGTAATGTCTCACCCCCTCTCAAAACAGGGCTGACTTTAGAAGGCAGATCCAATAATGTGATGCAAATATCTCTGACATTAAACATTTGAGCCTGAACTTGGACCTCGGGAGTCTCCTGGCAGTGGTGTTGGCTGAACCAGTCACCACTGTGTTTAACAGTGTCATCTGAGCACCCCAGAGCCCTGTATGACCCTGCCATCCAAACCCCCAGCCTGCTGCCTGCACATTTGTGTGAAAACCCTGTCCTGGTTTAGGACAAATTTGGGAGGAAACTTCTGAATAAGGTCCCTCTAGGAAAAAGGAAAAAAATTGGAGAGAAGTGGAAAAAGAAAATAAAACTGCTTATTCAACAGGCAACACACCTCCCAGCACAACAATGAACAATATCAAACAGCAAAAGCTCTCGCTGTTCCGAGGAGATGGCAGATTTAGAAGAGTTCTTTCCATGGCTGCCCGGCTCACTCAGTCTGATCTCAGTCCCTCCTGTGCTGGGGAATGTCACAGCCCAGGCCAGGCCTGGTGGGCCACAGGTGTGAGCTCCCAGGGCTCTTCTGGGTTTGCAGTCCAGAGCAGGTACAAACAGTTCCAGGAAAACAGAAAAAGGGAAAAAAACAATCCAGGGGACTTCTCTGCCTCAGCTAGACAGAAAAACTAACCAAGAGCAAAGCAGAGCTCTCTCTCACTGTCCACTGCAGACAATACAGTCTGTGTGCAGGAATGTGGGGGAGCCAGTGCAGTCTCTGATAACAAATTCTGCACCACTTCTTCCCCCCCTTCACTCCTGGAACCAGTCTTAAAGTTGCAGAATTCAATATCCAACACCAACAGAACAGACAATTTGGGGGTATAGGCATCATACAGTCACCCCAAGCCAAACCCTTTGGCGACTCCCTCGTCCAGCTCCAGGCTAGCTTATATACCATCACAACTCCAGAATGTGCACACTAATCCCTGTGGGTTTTTTTGTTTTTTTTTTCTCCTTCTGCAGTGCCAGGATTTCCCTACCCTGCTGCGACCGCCGCTGCCGCGTACAGAGGTGCCCACCTACGAGGCCGAGGCCGCACGGTGTACAACACCTTCCGAGCAGCAGCTCCCCCTCCTCCCATCCCAGCCTACGGCGGGTAAGGAGCTCTGCTTCCCTCACCTGTGCCTCACATAGCATGGATCCCAGCAGCCTGGGCACCGTTCCCAGCCCCGCTGCACGCGGGTCGTGCCTGCCCGGCACCGGCGCCTCGCACGGCGCCTTGAAAAATGACTGTAATTTGTCCTGCCATGCTTGGTGGCCTTAAGCATTTCAGGTGTCACATATTGTTATGTAAATGCTCCCGCGCACGGAATGCTCCGGAACGGGGAGATTGTTTCGGCTAAAGGTATATTTTTGATGATTGCAAACATCTGGTTATTAAGGAGGTTGGATTGAGTTAACTTCTTTTTCTTCAAACCGCCTGCTGAAAGTTGTCTCTGCACCTAAAGGCTTGGTGCTGTATTTGTTTTTTTATACATATATATGTCTTTTTTTGATTGCAGTTTGCTTAGTTTTTCTAGTTACCATCTTTGGCATGATAGAAATCTGGAGTGGTCCACTCAGGACCATGGGGTTTGTGTACGTTTACTTAATACCCTAAAATTTCGCTCTCAGTGACCTGCACTTACTAAAACCAAGTAGTAAACTAAGGAACCAAGAAGAGGAATTAATAGTATTAATTTCTAGAAACTCTATAATCTTCTTTATTTCAGAAGATTGTTTGGGGTTTAGGTATATTTTGGGGGGAAAGAAAGAAGAAACGTTTCTCCTGTAGCTGTGCAAAGGCTGACGCAGAAAGGCTTTGTATGCTGCATGTAAAACTTAAAAACTCTAATAGCGTTAGCAAAAGATTTTCAGCTGGTAAGAAATGGGGAAATCTGGAGAATCAGAAAACTTAGCAGATCCTAGGCCAGAGTAGTATTTTGTCACATAACTTGATTTTCCACTACCTCTCTGTAGAGCCACTGGATCTTTCTGGGAAGAGATCAGGAAGGGTTGGCACAGGCAGTGAGAGAAGGTGATCTCTCTCTCTCTCTCTCTCTCTCTCCCTGCCCTCACCAAAATCCTGTTCAGCATCTCCTTGGCTCCCACTGGGGATGTCCCCCTGTGCAGGAGCTGCCAGCACACCCCCTGTCCCCCTGCTCCATTCCAGTAGGTGATGGATACCCTGCACCAGTTCCCACAGTTTCTCAGTAAACCTTGCTTCCATTAAGCCAAAAGGAGCATCTTTTTCCAGACACATTTGCTAATCTCATCAGTTAGCCTTTGGGCTGAGTTTTCAAGGATATATTTATACCGGCAAAAACTAATGTAAAAATGATGCCACAGAATCAAGTTATTTTGTAAAAGTGTATTCTGTTGATTTATTTGAGTGTTTTGTGTAATGTATTAAGCAAACAGTATTACCACTACTGGAGGAAGACACTTTTCTGAAGTTTCCCTGAATTACCTTTGGTAATTCACACACAAGGGTGGTGTCCCACCAAAGTTATCCTTCTGTTGCCATACTCTCAGTTAGAGTCAGCCCAGGAATTTGTACATGGCAAAGATGGAAACAAGTTCAGAATTCCTGCATTCAGATTTTAATCAGAATTCCTCAGCTACCAAATGAATACTGCATCTAAAGGAAGTGGACCCTCCATCTCTACCTTGTTTAAAATCAAATTCTTAAATATGAACATAGAGTGCAATATGTAGTGAGCTAAGGTGGGCTGCTCAGTTTCATGATGTCATTAACATCACACCTTAGTTAAATACAGTCATAAAGGTATATACAAAATAATTACCAGCTGTGTGTGATAGTTTTTGAATTGGACAATAGCTTTTGGTTAGTATTTCCAAAATTAGTAAATATTTTCTCACTATAAGTAACTTAAATTTGCCTTAATTTAAGAGGCCACACGTGGGTGCTCTATGTGTATACATGTGTAGTATACACATTATTACAATTATTTCAGTAATTCAGCAGTAAGAATTCCATTTCCAGGTGCAGCACACGTATATCCTCATGGAACTGCTGATTGCCAGCATCTTTAGCAGTAAGTTAGATGTGTAAGCACAGGGAACTCCTGTTGTAAGTCAGTGCAGAGGTTTTGCACTCAGGTCCAGCAGTGCTGCAGCTGAACAGGTTTCCAGGAGGTGAGCTGAGCATCCTCTCTGCCCTGCAGGGTGGTTTGACAGGCTGGCTGAAGCTCACTGCCTTCGTGCTCGTGCCAAACCTGGCTTCAGAGGGAGCCGTGCACTGCTCTGGTCACAGTGCCATCATCTCCTTGCTCCGATGGCTTCCAGCTGTCTGAGGGGACCCCTTGCTGATCTAGGGCTCACCTTGCCACAAAACATAATCTGACACTGCAGAAGCTTTTAATTACTAAGCCCTGTCTTAAATCGTGTAGGTCTTAGTTCAGGTACTTAATTCTCTCAATCCCCCTGTGTTTTCCAGTACAGCCTTGCTTTCTGAATTGCCCATTCTGTAATCCATGGGTCAGTGCCTATCTTATATCATAAAATATGAAGTTATACATATCTCTGTTGCACTGATCCACAGCTGGGGTAATAAAGCTTTATTTTCCCCTAATTTCTTTGGCCTGGCATATTAGATCTCATGTTGGTATCTTGACTGGTACAAGCGTGTAACGTGGAATTTCTGTGTGAGTCTTTGTTCTCTGCTCACCTATTCTATCCTGTGACCCATCAAAGAAGCAATAAGGAATTTCTATCAGAAAAAAAAATCCTTAATCAGTGAAAATAAATTATGAGAATGTGGTCACAACATGAATAGAAGTCAAGGAAAGTTACTGAGATAATAAAGAAATCACAGAGAATGAATCAGCTTAGAGAAGGAAGCAAACAACTTGGAATATCATTTGTTGATAAGAAAAATGGAGTAAGTTTTGAATGCTGCTTTGCAATTAATTTGGTAGCAATTTTTTATTTTTCACTCAAGGAAGGAGCCCAGCCTTACAGTCAAACAAAAGTTTTATACTTAAGTGTTTTCTGTCATCAAAAAAGAAGAAGAGACATATTTTCTATAATGACAGATACTATCTTAGTAATAAATTTACATTAAAATCTATCAGTGTTTAGTTAGAAAAATATTTCCTTTCAAGAAAGAACCTATGTGTAGTTGCAAAATATAAAGCTGAAGATTGCAATTACCTTCTTTTCTTTTCTTTCATTAACCTTAGATCTTGATCTACCTCTAGGTCTTGTGGTAGTAAGGTAGGATGAGTTATGGTGGTTCCTATTGAAAGGTGTCTTCTGCTGTGCCCCCCACTTACTGGGGAGCAGCAGACAGGTTTTACTGGGTCCCAGGGAAATTGCTGGGTATAACCATATTTAAGGCCTTTATTTTCTTATAAATCAAAGAACAGCACATGTGCTTTAAAATGTGTCACTTAAAAATGGAATTACTGTTCATGAGATGCATGGCACTACCCCAGTAATTAATGGATCCTTCACTTCTAAGTGAGACATTTCACAATTCCTTGAGATAGCATCTTGTTTATTAGCTCATGGAATGTATTTCCCTTTAAGCATCTGTGGCATCATCTCTAATGCCTTGAAATATGAGAACTGCAGCTTACTTATAACTGCATATAATTAATGTATCATAAAACCCCCCTGACAGTGAAATGGGGAGTAAAGCTTGGTTTGTGTGAGAATATTGAATGCTGAAATTTAGAATTTGGAAGCCTGCACTGCATGGGGAGCTTAACCTCAAAATGGTGCAGCAGGAGAGGCAAAGTAGGGACCTTTAATCTGTTGTCAAGAAACCCCAGTCATGGTATATCTGGTAGTAGAGCAGTAGTAGATAGCAGGAGTAGTGAAACTGATGAGAAGCCTTTCTGTTTCAGCATCCTTTGCTTTAAATTCTTCACAGGTTTAGTGTGTGATGACTTTGTCTCCACATTTCCTCTCTGCTTCTTTCAGTTCTGATGAAGCTAACAGAGAATTAGCTTTCAGTCTTTATCTCCTCCTCTGCTGTCTTTCCTGGGAAAGCAGCAGAGAGCAATATGCTTTTTTTTCTCTCTCAAAAGAGAGAAGTTTAAAAAAAAAACAACAAAAAACTCGAACCCAACCCTAAATAGAATTGCAAATTTGTGGGGAGTGTGGAGGAGAAATAACAGAGACTATTCAGAAACTGTTCCTCTTGTTAAAGTAAACATTCTCAAGTGCTACTTGCTAACTGATTCAAAATGAAAATACAGCTTTATTTTCCAACCCTTATTCTGAATTCTAAATTTAAGAAGATTAGTATGAGCTACTACATCTACTCTGGTTGTTACGGGTTTTTCCCACTACATTTCCTTGGGCTCATGTAAACTTGCTCTTTGGACTCTGTGTATATGGCAATTGTTGGAACAAAAAATGTTTTTTGCCAGCATACATTGATTCATGCCTGCCAGCTTTGTTCTCTGCAGCAATGCCCTCAGTCAATATGACAAAGCAGATAATGGAACTTGTCCATGGCAGAAGCTGTTGAACCTGGAAAGGCAGGAAACTGGAATTAGACAACATTCTAAAAACTTGAAACTGCCTCGTACAATAGTTTCAGTTCTATGTTGACAGCACTTAAAACTCTGTTATCAGAGTATGGGAAAGTGTAGCATTAATTCTGTCTTTGGTTTAAATAAGGCTGTAGCTGCATCTCTTCTTTAATTTGTTTCATGAAGACCTTAGATAAAGGGTTCATGTTAAAGGTGATTTCCAGACCAAGATCTGGACAGTGTAGGACAGTGGGTGACCCTCCCAGCAGTCACAAAACACAACTGCTGTTCCTCAGCTTTCGTGTGGCTGTGCTGGAGAGGTGATGGTGAGCTGTGCCCACTGCTGTGCCAAGGAATGGAATTGATGCTGACAATGGCACCTAGAACAGAGGCTAGACAGAGGTAAAAGAATAAAGCAGGTGTTTGTTAAAGGCCTTGAACAGACTCACCTGGGGCAGTGTGGGAGCCTCGCAGAGGCTACACCTGAGATGGACAATGGTCATGAGTTTTTCATCCAGATATAAATTTGGTCTGTTTGCATAGCAGAGGTTAATTGTCCAATTATACCTTCAGGTAATGAAGTATATTCCCCTGGTTTGCTTCTCCCCTGATTCACCTTTGTTTATACCTTTTGGGGCCCGAGGCTGTGATGGTGTCCTTGGCTCTCAGGCCTGGAAGGATTGTTTTGTCTGACCAAAATGTGAGGAGAGCTCACCAACACTCTGTATAGAGTTCAGAGTTAAACCCTAAAGCAGTACAGGATCTGAAAAAGATAAAAGCTAAAACTGAAGGCATCAGAATCAGGGGTGTGATTCCATTTGTTCCCTTGAATCCAGCACTCTGGATGAGCCTCAGGCTGGGTGTGGCTGAGCACCATGGATCCTCACTGCTGGAAAGCTTCTCAGCTAGGGCTTGTGCAGTCAAGGACTGACTATTTATGTCATTGATAGATTGTCCAACTCAGTCTTTTGGAAAGATGAGGACAGAAAAATGATAATGAAGACAGATGTAGTTCTCCCAGAATATTATAAAGGTGGAATCTAAACCAGTTAATAGTTTGTGTTAATATAGTTACAAAAAGTGATTATAAAACACTGAGACTTAAATAAAGGAGCTAAACCCATGAGAGTCTGATGGATAATACCTGATGAGGAAAGAGCTTCCTATTTAGATAAAATAATTTCAGGAAATTATTGCCACATATGATGTTATTTAGATGCACATTTTCTTATTAAATCAAGATTTCTCACTTCTCTGAGTTTTCCTTAACACAATAAAATAATGAAATACAACTGAATAAATTCCCCAAATTTGCTCTTTTTAATGCCTCTAGGAAGTGCATTAACATATCCATTCCTTGGGTGAAATAACTCAGATTTCAGTAATGTGGCTATTTGTTGTTTTACAAGGAGCACAAGACTTACCTGTCTACCAGGATAATTTTTTTAATATAAAGTGTAAAAGGAGCTGTTGTGAGAGGGATCCCTGTGTGATGCCTTCAGTCTCTTCCCATGCTCAAGACATCCCTTTTTTTTTCTGCCTAGAGCTTCAGAGACAGAAAAAGGGGTGATAAATCAAGCAAATTAAACCAAATTAACCAAAAGAAAAAAAAACCAAACCAACCAAACAAACAACCCCCCCAAAAAACCCCCAAAAAGTCCAAACAAAAAACCTTGGAAATTTCTATACTAAAGGAAGGAAAAGCAAAATTTAGTTCTTGGTGGTTTCTACTTTGATAAAGGGTGCTGTTAGGAAATACATTTGACTCTACTTGTAAGATTCAGTCACAAATCAAAAAATAACAAGAATTATGAATAGAGAAAATATTCTCTGAAAAAATCTATGGAAGTGTGAAGAATTCCTTTTCCTTAAACTTCAGGAGAGGCAGAGGGGTTTTTATTTAATATCACTGTCATAATGTAAGGTCATAGGAAATAAGATAAAATCAGCTGATTTTTTTTGTAGTGCAAGTCCTGCTTGGGACTGTTATACTCATTTACCTGATTCTGTCACTTCATCTTACTATTGGCTGTATCTAATGATGGAGTTATGCATATATGTCTCATTTTAGTGATGGGTACATTTTTCAGCATAGTATTTATGAAGTGATTTCATTTAGAACTCAAAATAAGGTTCTGTCTGGATGTGACTGGAAGGAAGACTGGGGTGGATGAATGAACCTGTCCAGGATTACAACCAGCTGCACTAAGGAATGAAAAATTTATCAGCCCCTATTCATCTTTACTGCATATCCAACACCAAGAGGAGGAAGAAAAAAACTTTCCCTTTCTGACACATGCTTTTTCAAAAGCATTATTTTCTGAATAGCCATGTTTAATGGCAATTGAGAGTGGGATGTTTGAATGGACAGTGATGGGTTGGCCTGGGCTGGCTGCCAGACCCTCACCCAGCTGTGCTCTCCTTCCCCTCCCAAGGGTACAGGGGAGAAAGGAGAATGGAATGCTCTTGAGTTGAGATAAAGACAGGGACATTTTCTGCCAATTGCCATCATGGGCAAAACAGACTTGACTTGAAAAATGAATTTAATTTCCTACTGAGGTGCAGTTAAAGGGTTATAAACAGAGGTAGGACCTAAACCAGCTTCCCCCAGCTCTCCCCCACCTCCAGCAGGAGTGGCACAGGGATGTGAGGAGCTGGGGGTTGGAGCTGGGGGACCCTCATCTCCTGTAAACTCAGTATTCTTTGTGTGTCACCTCATCCAAGTCCTTCCATGCTGTCCATGATTGTGTGCTCCTACCTCACAGTTGTGTGGAATGCTTTATTTCTTATGTGCAAACAGGTTAAGAAAAACATGGAGTGTTTTAAAATAATCAGAGTATCCAAACCAAACCAAAATGAAGGTACACTGCAGTGTAAGTCAGAAGCTCTCTGAAAGCTGCCAGTGTACACCAGGTTTTGCATATTTTGCTCTGCAGACGTAATAATAGAAAAATGTATGAGTAAAGATCTGACCCTACTGGAACAAATGGCAGACACTCTGATTAAAGTGGAGCTGAGTTTTCACCTGTTATTATTCCATTGCAAACTTTTATCATCAGTGTGGTTTTATCCATGTTGCTGTGTGCATGTGTGCATATTTATGATTTTCTCAAGTGATTCTGATTTAGACATATAACAGCTCAGCCCTGTGGGGTTTGGTCATTGACCTCGATAGATCAGTTATATTTCTTACATGAAAATTCTTGTTGGAATTGCAAAATGGCTTAGGCTAGCTACTTGGTAATAACTATTATTCCTAGATGATAGTATTCCTAAATTTAAAATATTGTTGCAAAAAAACCCCTACTGTTTTATTAGTTCTCGTATTTAGCTCTTGAAACAGCTTGGGTTGATTCTGATATTGGAAATAGATATTTCCAGTTGCAAAACTGCCAGATAGATGTAAAATTGCAGGAATGACCTAATAGGTGTAATTGTTAGGCCACTGTTGTGCAGTTCCAGTTTTATTTAGTGTAATCATTTAAGTTGTCTTTGTCATGCTGTGCCATTTATCCTGAAGGGTTTAGAGTTTTTCACCGTTTACTCTCATGATTGATCTTAGCTGAAATGAGACCATCTCTGGGTGAACAGCAATATTACCACATTCTTCAGAGAGAAGTAGTAATGTATCCTACCAACCAAAACAGGGCAGCTCAGAACCACTGGCATGTTTTCCAAAGCTGTAAAATGCTAAAGTAGGCAAAGTTATTTTTTTTTTATTTCATAAGAATAGCACCTTGAAATTCTCAATAAACCATTTGTCACTATGGTAATGTGCATTGAGCCAGCAATGCAGTACCTGTGGGTTCTCTCACCTCTGTGTAGACTGAATATTGAGATTTGACCCAGTGGGTAGAACACCACCAGTGTAATTATTTCACCCACTCCTCTCACCATTTCAGCTTAGGCTGTTTTGTTTGCCATCTAAGTAATGAGAAGTAACCTTTTATTTCAGAGGGTCAGCATAAGTACAGGACAAGAAAGCAGTGCTTCAAGAATAAGCTTTTTGTAAAGGTATTGAAACTGGATGTAGGATTGGCCCACTGAAAATTTTTATAGGAAAGAAAAAACACTGTCAATATGTGGTTTCTTAAAACTAATAACAGGGGCAGAAAAAAGCCCCCAAACTTTATCAAAAGTCTTTTCCAGTCCTGCCATGCTTTGCTTTCCTTTGACTAAGCATTTGGCATACTTGATAAGATGATGTATTTGGTACAGGTTCACTTCTGATAATTGCTACCAACCTCCTTAACCAATGTGAAGAGTGCCTTCCTTCCCCCTCCCCTCTGTTCTTGTGAGAGACTAACCTCAGCTGTGCAGGGGTTGGTGGCATTTGCATGTGGAAATGCACTAATATGGATGTTTTTCTTTGTGTGTGCATCCTTGCAGTGTTGTATACCAGGATGGATTTTATGGTGCAGACATTTATGTAAGTATTCATTGATGTGCATGCTGTCCTTGTACATTACCAGAGTCATTCTTTTTACAAGTTTGCTGCCTAGCTTGACTCTGTTTTGTCTATTTACCATCCCTTGCCTGTCAGAAAGAATTGAGAAGAATATCTCTCACATTGGAAGACCTTTCTGTTCATTACATCTATCATTGTTCAGTGGAGCTGAATTAACTCTTCAATCAAATGCTGAATGAATGCAAAAAGATGTGAAAAAATGTGTGTGCCTGTATGGAGGGGCGTCTCCCTTCGTAATTTAAGTTCAAATTAAAAATAAAGCAAAGCAGAAACATTCTGCATATCCCTACAAGCTCTTAAAAAAAATAAGGCAAGCTGATATTATTAATACTTGAAGCATGAAAGTACTTAATGGAGAGATAGAGGTTTCCCAAATCCGGCCAGCACTGGGGATGTGTAGGTGCCATGGTGATAGTAGAGTTTAATGGCATAGTAAGTTTAAAATATGGCAAGGCATTGTCTGTAATCTGAGTAGACTTCCAAAAATTGCACTTCTAAAATCCACTAATTTCAGTTTAAAGGAGATGGGTAGAGACTGCTCAAAATACAGTAAATAACTTGTTAGGAAAGATTCGTAGTCCTGGATCCATCATTATCTATGCACCTAATTGTTCACCAATTTAATCTTAAATAATATTTTTACTTTTTAAAATTTTTCTATTTTTTTCAAGTTTTCATACATTGTTTTTTTCTTGCCAACTTTTTTTTATCTTGAATGTGTGCAAAGAGGCTCCATATATCTGAGTATGCAAGAGGTTTCAGGGGGTTGAGGCTAAATTTCACTCTTCTTAAATTCTTATACCTAATGTGTAGATGTAAAATATTTCACTGGCAGTAAGCAATATTTTTATTTTTTTTTTAAATTCTTTTAATAAGGCAACCTGGTTCTAAGTTACAGGTTATCATCTTTATTTCACCAGACAACTTTCTGCAACCTACTTGTACTGTTTCAATTGAGATAAAATGAGATGGATGAGTTGAAATTTGTATGAATATTAAAAATTAAATAGGCAGTGCTAGGAAACATCCCTTGTGTTCATTATCAACAATCTTGTAGGACTATTCCCAAGGGAACAGATATTTCTTAGTAAGTTTTATATAAATAAGGAAAACAAACTTAATTTATGGATGAAGTAGGTTTTGTTCTTTCTGATGGAGGTGGAAAGGCTGATCCTTCTCTGAAAATGCATTTGTGCAGCTTCAAAACATATTTAAAATGAATTAGCGAGGGTTCAAGTCCTCTCCTCATGTACTTCTGCACTCAGTGATGTGATCAGTAAGATATTGTTTATAACACAGCAATCACCCACTGCCTAAAGGTTTGCTCAAGCCAAGTAAGTGGCTCTGATCCCACCCAAGCTGCTGCCCAGTTTTTGAGCTGTATAGGGCACATGTCCCATTGTGGAATTTCTTCACTTCTGGTTTCCAATTTTCACATTGCTTCAAACCATCAAAAGAGTTTGACACCCGTTTTACTCAGTTTACCAAGGCAGAAATCTGCAGGGCAGCAAGACATCTTTCTCAGGAGGGCTCAGGGTGAGGGATGAGGTGGGAACTGAATGTTACTGGAGCAGTTTGTAGGTGTGGAAGCCACTGCTGCAGAGAGCTAGCAATATCTCGTTGGTGATTGACAATGTTATTTTTAGGTGGCCTCACATCCTCCCACAGCCTTTAATATTTTGTTTCCAAATGGAGGGTGGCTTCAGTGAGAAAGATACTGAATAAGTTACGAATTTCTAGTATAGGCTCAGTTTTGTTGTCTGCAATACTTGTGGCATAAGGAAATGGAAAAATCTACACTGGTTTCACTCAGTTGCAGCCTCGTATTTCTGATTGCATATCTTAGTTCTCTTAATGCAACAGAATGTTTATCTTTATAGCAGATGACAGAATTAAAACACTTCTGGAAATTTAGTTTCTTTATAATGTACAAATCTTTTTATTTTATAAATAATTTTTCTTCACATTTGTGCCTTCTTCCATATAAAGCATTTTCAAGGGAGGGAGAGAAAGATAGAACTGGCATAAATCAAATGAAACCTTGAAATTCACAGTGTATTAGTTCTTAGTGCAGCAGTTTGCAGCAGACCAAGTTATTTATTAAATCCCAATTGTTTATGACATAGTTCCACTCAGCTTTTCATTTTAAGTGCAAAGCTGAAGCTTTGTGAAATGACAAATGCTCTGTGAAAAAAAGGAGAAAAAATATTTGAACAATGTAGGGTTTAATGGTAGATTGGAGGAAAAGGAGACTTAGAAATATCAGAGAAAGCAAAAGCAGAGGCATACAGTAGTGAAAAGTCAGATCAAAAATATGCATTAATAGCTACATCAGAGTGGGTTTCATCCTGCTCTGATTACACTGAGAAACAACAATAGATGGACTCTGCTATTCTTTGCATAACTTGGGATCAACAGAGCCTTTGGTGAGAGAAACCACAGATTTAGGGGAAGGGAGGGAGGGGTGACACAAAACTGGTAAAAACTGCAGGGTGAACCAAGAACAGCAAATATCCAGAGCTGCTCGATACTAACCAGTGGAATAGAAGAGATTAAGAATATAAAAATAGGTGGAAAGTACAGTCTAAAGTGAAAAATCAACAGCCGTGATTCTAGATGTAATATAATATATTCTATATTTCATATAATTCTGTATGGAATGTAATAATCCTTCTGAAATAGCTGAGCTATTGAATTCCCTTTTAAATGTGCCTTTGAGTAGGAAAAATAAAGGAGATTATTAGGAAGTAAGGAAGACCTTTTAAAATTAAGTATTGATTCACTAAGAGAAAAAGTCATTAAAAGAGAATTAAAGTTGCCTGCCAGCAAATATAGAAGTTCTTAGATGAAGATTGACACCTGTGAAAATAAGAAAATACACTCCACAAAATGAAGCAAAAAATAGTAACAGACTCAGAAATATGCAGTTAGAATAATAGCTCTGCTTTATCTTAAATCTGTTCCTTTTTTTATTACCATTGTCATAAAGAATGTTTTCAGAATATGTCAGTCATCAATCCCCACCTAAAATGTGGGAAGGCTCAGAAAATGAGAACCTTCCACACCCTGTCACCTCCAGCTCCAGAAGCCCCTGGGTAATGGTTTAACCATGGCCATTAGTCAGTCTTGCTGCTCACAGCAAGCTTTTCTAAACTTGCCAGGATTCTGGACCTGTGATACTGCAGGTGGAGACAATCCATGGTAAAATATACATGTGTAGGTTTTAATTTCTTTTTTTTTTTTTTTTTTTTTGAGCTGCTGGGCAAGAATAGGGCAGATTTTTATGGTCAGGGGTATGGAATGAGACTTTTTACTAATAGGTCTTGCCATCAGCTTTAGCTCAAAGCCAGGATGGAGTTGGGGAGGGAGGAATTATTTGTTTAAAAGCAGAGGTAGTTATCTAACCAACATTCCCCTGACCCCAGGTGGGAGTCCCTCAAAGCCACCAGGTCCCCTGAAAGGCACTGCTGTGGTGTGGAAAACAAGGATTTGCAGGCAGCACTGAAGGTTTTCCTGTGGGAACCAGGGACTCTTTGTGCTTTGCCAGTGCAAGGGTGTGCCATGCCCTGTGACTCACAGAGACAGAGCAGGCAGAGGAGAAATGACTTTGCCAAGGACAGGAGGGTCCCCAGGGAGCAGGGGGGTGTTCTTTCCACTGGAAAACTCCATGACACCCCTTTAAAAAATCTGGATAGACAGGGAGGAAATATCTTTTGATCTCATCTTTATTTGTGATGTTAACATTCAAAAAGATACCAGAGCAATCCTGGAGATTGTATTTGGCTGGAATTAGTGCAGATGGTGCCTGGATATTTTACCAAGAGTTTTTTTGAGGAAACAGCTACCTCTGGGAACACAATATAGAAATACCCCAAACTTTGCACACAGGCCAGGTCCACCATTTGAGCCAGCACAAATTGGAGGCAGATTGTTTATTTTTAGTTCTCCCAGTCAAAGTTTTACTCTGTGGGCAGAATAAACAGTGTTTAAATCTCAGCAGCATGTGAGTGGAGGAACATGAACTGACACTTTTTATATTCTGCAGCTCTGGGTGTAATTCATGTAATTTTTAATACCATTCTTCTATTTGTAGTTAATAAGGCAGGTCTAATTCTCAATACTAGAGAAGGTTTGGAACCTTGATTAATTTATGTTCACAAAATACTCTGAGAACCTTGAGTGAAAGGAAGTATAGGAAATATAAATTGAGGAAAATTAACTCTCAACATTCATATGAAATATTAAATATATAGCTAATAGAAAAAAAACCCCCAAAAATACTCATCATGTAGAGTCACTTTGTGTTTCATTACATCTGGAATCATGATAAAAAAGTGATTTGGCTATTTTATGAGAAGTTTCACACATGTATATATGGTTTTGTAATCTCTAGATGCTGTCTGGGTAAGTTTTTTGTGGAAATTAGCCTTACTGCAGATATACACACTTTATTTAAAAATTCAGTTGTATTTAATTTTCTGTTCATTTCCATTTTATCATATCTTATTCAAAATGTGTGTGATTTTGATTAAGATTTCTCTGTAAAAATCACCAACTGATCTCTGACAGATCCCACTGCTCTTTTTCTGTTTGCCTGAGCCAGAGATGTATAAAACATTGAGAGGAAAATGCTAATGAATTGCTCTGGGGAATTTGCCTAAATTCCTTCCTTACATCTTTCTTGCCATCCTTCCTTCCTTCCTCATTCAAATCATTCCATTTCTGCTTCTTTCTAGAGCAGTGTGGCAGGAGCCTGTGTATGGCAATAAGTTACCAGAGCTATGACACCCACTGCTGGGAAAACCTCACCATGCTGGATGTAGCCTCATGTCAAATCACACTGATACAAAAAGAAATACGTGAGAAAAGGATTCTGTGTTTACAAATGGCAAAAATAGTCCAGCAACTGCATTTTATTTTCCAGATTCAGTCACAAAGTCACAGATAGTGATGTTATTGTTAATTTTTAAAGCTGCTTAAGCTGCTCTAACAGCACTTTTATCGTTGTTCTGGAAGTAGCAAATATAGGAGCACAGATAAGGCAATAATCATTGTTTATTACAGTATGTGAATTTATTATAGTATATAATATTATAATTTATATTATTAATTTATACTATAATTTATTATAATATAAATAATCCACATCATAAAAGTCAGGTACTTTCTGCCTGAGTATAAATATTAAGGGAAAAAAAGAATTCCTAAAACATTTCCAATAAATAGGAACTGAAAATTGTTAATTTTTAAATGCAATTATTGCATAATTTTGTTCTAATTATTTTATTTTGCAGTATAGTCTAAGGCATGAGGATTATTATATAATGTTACTTAAGAGATGTTGTGAAGATTACTGGTGTATTCTTCACCAAAGATACCAGCCAAGTTCAAAATTAGAGCAAAATTGTCAAGTAGAACTTATTACAGAAGTTGAGTTCAGGGGTTTAAACTGGAATCCCACCCCAATTTCCAGTGTAAAGTGTACCTCCAAGTATTTTCTTCCTGCAGTAATCAAAAATCACCTGAAGTAATTGAAATAAAACAATGAGAAAAATTGGTACAGCACGAAAACTGCAGAACACAAACCCCATAAAAAGAATTTGCTTAAGCATATTTTAATTTATGATAGTTTATTTTAAAATTATAAATTCATGACATGGGATGGTAGGGAATTAGGTTTTCCCTGATACCCAAATAAATCCTGCTTTTTTAGTTCTCCAGAGAATTCAGGCAAATTCAATGCCTTCAGTCTCTTTTTATTTGTATTTCTTTATACTTATTCTTGCCAGGGCTCTCGTAAATGTCAATCTGATTGCTGAATCCAAAACATCTTAATAAAGTTCAGAGTCGAGCTTCGTTGTTCAGCAGAAATTCTTTGAAAGCAAATCAAAATGCAAGCATAAAAGGAATGTAGCTCTTGTGTTTAGGGAGCAAGTAAAGTCTCTCATCCCACACCAATTTTTGGTGATAATTATAAATGAAGGACAGAAACCCCATCCCCAGAGAGCCCACCAGATTTGAGATCAGCTGCTGTGGGAACAGCCTGTCTCATTTTTCTCCCATTCTGGACTGCTCATGGTGGCCTGTTCTCAGTTCCATACTGTGGCAGGAGCTGCAGTCACTTGGAGTGGCTCTCACTTTTACATCAGGGGTTTTAGGAGTGCACAGCAGGACAAGCAAAGGAGTTGGACACGTGGTGAACAGAACCATGTCAGACCTGCCACACACTGCCACGACTGGGTCATGAAAACAAATTCAGGATCTTTGTCATATCAGCACTCGGGGAAAAAAAAAAAAATTAAAAAAGGGAGGAAAAGGTGTCATATTTCACAGAATCACCAGGTTGGAAGAGACCTTCACGATCGAGTCCAACCCAGCCCAACAGCTCAACCAGAGCATGGCACCGAGTGCCACATCCAGTCTTTTTTAAACACATCCAGGGATGGTGACTCCACCAACTCCCCGGGCAGACCATTCCAGTATTTAGCCCTCAAAGACCAGGAGAACAGATAAATTTGTATTTTCTCTCACCTCTCTCACTTTGACAGAGGCCAGCTCAAGTGTGCAGTTTGGATTTGTGTCTCAGCCTCAGCTCAGTTTGTACCTGGTGACATTATTTGATATCCAAAGGGCTGCACATACTTACCTGCAGCAGTGTGTGCCTGTGCTACACTTTTGACAGTGATAGCCTTCTGCTGGTTTATAGAAATGCAATAATGTGAAATGGGGTGGTGTTTTGTCTCAGTGCCTCTGTGTGTGCACAGGAGAGGGCACAGGGGGTTTAGGAGATGCTCATTCCTGCCTGATCCCAGGGCTTGTGTGACACAATTGCTGCTGGCAGGGAGCTGGCCAGGAGCAGGGAGGGACATCATGTCCTGTTCTCTGTGTGAGCACTTGAAAAAAAAATCAGAAAGTATAATCTTCAAATAAGCTGAAAAATCAAAGCCTGGAGTTTCTAATCAGCTGTCAGTATATGTAAAACTTGTGTTTATTCTTAGGGTGATGTGGCATTGTCAGCTAAACGATTGATTTCCAAACCCAACCTGCTTCAAATCTTCAAACCCACAAAGGTCTACATGAGTTAGGGATGAAAGCCATTCTGCCAAGCTAAGTGGTAGAAGAGGGAATAGCTTGTAAACGTAATTCAGATTGCTTTTCTGAAAAGAATGAATATTTATTTGAAAAATCAAAATAGAAAACCCACAAAAGTTATTGCAGTGAAAATGTTCTACTGTTACAGTAAAGGCTGGCACATCGTGGCCTATTCTTCCTGCTCCAGCACAATATCTGGGGTGAATGCAGCCTTCCAAAAAGAAAAAATAAAAGAACCAATCCATTAAAGCAAACACTTCAGCAAAAGAGTGAATTTTATTCAAAGCTGAGTGAGCTGATACTGTCTTATTCAGCTCTTTCTTAGGGAGGGGGTAGGTGGGGAAGGCACCACAGCAGCCCCTGTCCCAGAGGGTGCTGGGGGGAGAATTCTAATTGGGACGTAAATCGTGTTTGTGTTATGGAGGCCTGGGCTGGGGCTGTTAATTGGCATGCTGAGATCATTTGGAAATGGTTGATATAACACCGTGGTCCATTGAACAGGAAGCTCTGCTGTTTTCACAGTTTGATAATCAATGCATCACTGCACTCAATTCCTTTCCAATGTGTGTTTGTTTGTCCTGTTTGCTTAATTGAACAGCTGGAATTACTGTTACATACAACTGAATGTTAATTCATGGAAGAAGAGAATTTTGCTTCTTCATTATAATTTTATGTGTAAATTGGAAACCTATGTAACATTAAGTGTTAATTGAGTGCACAAATTCATAAGTTTAATCAACCAGGCATGATAAATCATATTTTGTAAAAAAAAAAAAAAAAAAAGACTTGATTATTAGCTGAGTTTGTCTTTTAAGTTTAGCACTGCTTTGTGAATATACATACACTTTGTCCATGTGAACAACTGCTTCTTGAAAACTTGGAGAAGAATCCAGTATTGTCTTGTAAAAAAGCTTACACTGATCAATATAGTTCATTGCCTCGTCCTGATGTCTGGGACAAATCTTTAAAAGTTTGCGGTGCTCGGTTTTGCTTAAAGATTCACCGAAATATTTCCCCTTAACATTTCACTGCAGTATTTCCTATGCATTTAACTGAGCTGCAGCATGACTGTGCTCTTTCAATTGTTGTCAAATGTTGCAAAATGTGATTGAAGGTGCCACAGCAATGCAGTTAGAGCGTGAGTTTGTGTTTCAGGGTGGTTATGCTGCCTACCGGTATGCCCAGCCTGCCACTGCCACTGCAGCTGCCTACAGTGACAGGTAAGAACTCCTTTCCTGCTCACAAATATTTGACCAGTGGAAGTTGAAGATGATTCTATAAATTTGCCTTGTTGAAGTCTCATAACTGTCTTGTTGCTCTGCAGATAATTGTGATATCTAAAGCAGGCTGTTTTATTATAATCCATGAATAGCCATAAATTGAGAGACTTTAGGCCTTAATTGAGAATCAGGCATGAGATGTGCACATTCCCAAGCTGTAGATTATCCAGTTAACGTCTGTGACCCTTGTACAATGTGAATAAATAAATGTACAGATTCATGATGGTCTGCTACTAAGGATCATTATTTGTCTTAGGAGTATTATTTCAGTTGATTTAGAACCTTGAACCTATTGAGTGCCCTCAATTCTCATTGACATTGTTTTAGTCAGTGGAAATTGAGAATGAACTGTGTTTAAGCTTGAACTATCCAATGCAAATTGGATATACAGTAATAGAGCAAATACAGTATTTTTTTCCCATTTGCTTTCTTCCCAGGGATTTGATTTTTTTCAATACTTGAAAAAATGTTATTTTTCTTTTGCTCTATATTTTTATCCTCAAAATGTAAACCACATTTGGTGGAAACAATATCAGGAATGGAAGATCATTAAAATCTGCACATTCAAAGACTTAACTTTTATGAACTAAGAGCGATATCACATATATTAGTGTGTCTTCTTGAAAGATGGATGTTGGAATCCCTTAGAAGTCAATGTCTAAATTGCTGTTGACTTCAGTAGGAACAGGATTTTATCAAATTGCATAAAATTAAGTCTTTGCAGTGTGTGGACGTGATTTTGTAATGAGAAGGAGGATTATCTTAGATTTTCTTCAGAAATTGTACCATTAAAATCTATTCTATCTTTTATGTTTTTTAAGTCCTTGAGGAGTGTTCCCTTGTGAAGGGAGGGTGTATATGGTGGCAGAGACACACATATATAATTTGCTTCATGATGGCAGTGAGAAGTAAGGTCACGCTTCTCAATACCTGATACAAAAAAAAAATTCCCTTGGAATCATGGAAATAATTTCTTAAGCCTTAAATACATATTGAAAAAATTCTTTAAATGCTAAATTAGACAGTCTTACAAATGCTTCTGTTTCNATCAAGTGATTAAGAAATTCTAGTGCACCATTTCTTAGATTGAAGCGCTGTTCATGGATTCTGTATTTTTAGAACCAAGTCCCATGGTATGAATGTTACAATGCTATGCATGCATATTTGCCTTTCAAGTGCTTATTCTGGGTAATGAAGATACATTTTTTAAAGTTATGTGAATAAAGTAATTTGCATGTATGGCTGAGGCATGCTGTGTCAGACAGGTAAGCAAGCTACTTTTTATTGATTTTGGGTCAGTGATATCAACTAGATCTGTGCTGTGTGCACTTTGTTGGCAATGTACTATTTCTACTTAGGGGTACGTGCACAGGTGAAGTGCTGCTCAGTAGTTTCATTTCATTTCCACAAAGGTTTGATAGCACATTGCAGCTCTAGGGTTTTAATGTGAGCTTTTCTGGAATGCAAAGCAACTCCTGCTTCTAAAATCCTACTAAACCAAAAGGACAAAAATTGAAATTACCTCCTGTGGTCAGCCAGGTTTTGCCAGCTATTGCTCAGGTGTCCCTGGATCATCTTATAAGCAGTTTATTTCTATTAATTAAATCTATGCATTACACAGAGAAACCGAACACAACAGAGCAAACTGACTTTTAAATGCTTTAATTATGAATTTTTGTACCTTCTCATAAACCAGATCAAAGGCTGTAAAATAAAATATCAGTTGGTCACATGTTCTGCTATGGGCAGAGAGTCAACATCACAAAGAGTTGTGCTGCCAAAAAGGTAAAGGATTTGTTAGGAAGATAGTGCTCTTAAATGCTGTAAAGAAAGCTGGAGATGGCACCAGTAGTTATGCAGTTGTTATAATCCTTAATTATTTTTTTAAAAAAGAGGTCTAATTTTCTAATACACTTTGTGTCTAATTAGAATTGCAATAACCTGTCTTTGCTTGCATTATTTTATATATCTTAAATAAATTTTATATATTTTGGATTTTTTTTATCTTCTCTTTTTGAATGTGGTTAACCCTCATTTTCAATCTACTTCCCTCAAATAAATATGGTTTCTTGTCTTAATTAAAAATCTCATAACTGAATCTCTTTAGGAGAGAATCCCAAAACTAGCATCAAGAACAAAACAAATAACAATCTGCTCAAACATTTCTTTGCATGTGGGAAACTATGTGCAAACATGGATACCTCTGTTAACTCACAACTACAGTTTGTTTAATTTCTTTAACTTTTTGTTCATTTAAAAATTGAGTTGATTTAGCTACTTTTGTGAAATTATTAATATTGAAAGTGCTGATATGTAGTTCAGTACAACTATTTCTATCTGCTCTTCTCAATGAAATTATCATCTGCTCTCCTCTCACAATACTGAAGATTCCATATCTCCTTATACACTTATTTAGTGTTCATATGAGCCCCTATTTAATTTAACTACACATTAGCTACATTTACTGTTTTCATAAAAAAATGATGCCAAAAGAAATTGAGTACCATTAAGGCAGTGACATATCATGGAAATACTACTTCATACTAATTTAAAAAATAAGAAAAGCTTTATTTTTTTGGTCACCACTCATATCCATTATAAATGGCAATGTTCCATATTTGGAAAGCTTCTTAACTTAGGAGATGGAAAGTGGAAATCTTTAGATTGGAAACATGTTTTGGTAAATGAAAAATAAAGGTTAACAGAAAGATTTGGGACTCCAGAATCAATAGACCAAGTTGATTGATAATGATCACTGTGAGAGGGCTCTATTTGAAGAAATGCAATGGTATCCTTGTTTGTCACAGTTGGAAATATTGTTGGAAATAGGCAAGGAACAGATATACAGGGGAGAATCAGGTGGAAAGGAAATACTATTAAACCAATCAATGCAAACCCTGAAGTATTTGTCAAGACAGATCATGTTCTCCTAAACCAAATTTCACAACAGGGGTAGGCCTGGCAGATCTCTCCAGTCATTTCTTAGGATCATAAAATAAAAACAACAAAGAAACAGGTACATTTTGTTTTATTTATGAAGCAATACAATCACTGGATACAAATTCAGAATTCATTTTTTATATTGTGTGATCTATCATATATTAAATTGCTTGTGCAGATTTGAAGGTCTTCTCAGAAGTGGATTAAAAAAAGATGTTTAACTTGCCAAGATTAAAAATATTTCTGATAAGTTTTCCAATTAGTGTAAGTTCTAAAAGGGGACCTATAGGTCTATATATTTTCTTCATCAGTCTGGAACTTGCCTGGCAAACTCTCTAAACTGAGCATATTTGGAAAAAAATTGTAAAGATGCGCAAAAGACACTGAATCAGATGTCAGTAAAATGTTTGTACAGCTCTTATTCATCTTTCATGCAATATTTAAAAAAAAAAAAAAAGAAATAGTTGTTAGAGTTCTGTCCAAGTCTGAAGTAATAGAAACTAGCAAGCTCATCCAGATTTTATTCCTGAGGTAGGGGTCGGAGCATGGCAGTGGGGCGTATTGTCATTTTGTCATTGCATGTTCACTTGGTGTTGCTGGTATGTCTGTAATGCTGTACTGGATTTGACAGATCCATCACATAGCTCAGTGAATGGCTTGCTTGAATTAAGCCTATGGGCAGACTTATTCACATTGATTGGCTATTGGTTTTGTGTTTTATGATTTGATTATTGCATCTTTGATCGGAGTAAGAAAATTGTTCCTTTCGCGCATATTAACGTTGTCAGCGATATTTATGCAAGTGTGTCTGGGAGTGCCATGAGCAGAGCCCTGACAGGAGGAAGGCAGCCCTGTCTGAGAGGCAGAGTCACCCCCCGAGCTGCTTGCTGTCCCCGAGCAGGGCCGAGGTGTGTTTATACATGGATGGTGCTGTATCCATATATACACACACATCCCATCCATCACACACACACACACACACACACACACACGGCCAGGGTGTGCCTGGGCACCTCCCCTTCTCTAACACAGCGCCCAACCCTCACCTCACTCCAAACTCTGGGGACATTCCCACTGACCTCTTTGCTGGCTGGATTAAATCCCTCATCACTGGAAGCTGACTTTTTTTTTCCCTTTTTTTTATCTTTTTTTTTTTTTTTTTTTTTTTTAATAAAATAAGGCATATTCCAAAATATTTTGCACATAACACTTTGTAGTAAAAAAAATATTTTGATTTTTTACTCCCGCTATCACTTTGTGTTGTATGTTCTGTGGTTATACCTAGGATTTTATTGGATTTGATAGAGCAGGTATTGTCATATTATTGTATCTTCCAGATCTGAAATCTTACTCCTGATAAAATCCTGATATTCTAATAGTTTACATTTTTAACATGTGTATGTGGAGCATTCAGGTTTTTTTCAAACCAGTAGTGTCTACAGAATTCCAGTTCTCTTTGAGCAAGTAGTTGAGAGCAATACTTGATATTTGCGCTCAGGTTATCCTAAAATAGAATAGGTCCTGATTTTATTTAATAGATAAAGTAATAGATTTAACATGCTCATTAAAGAATGAAAATTTAGAAGGAAGAGAAAAGAACCACAAAATATAAAATATGAGTTTCTATAGCTGAAGGGGGGGTTTCTTATATTGTGGACTATATAATCTTCTATTTTATGATTAAACAATGAAAACCACTATAATTTTATTCAAATTATTTTCTCTTATTGAAGATTACTAGAGATATATACTAAAAATTAAGATTTTGATTGCATATAAAATATAATAGCATCTTGAGCTAGAATTTAATTTTCCACTAAATAATTTTATAGAAGCATAAATATTTTAAAATCTAGTACTTCATTCATTTCATGATTGTACCTTCTTAGATTAAGGAGAAAGAGCTTCTCTACACAATTTTAGTTTCTAAAGGGGTCAGATTCGAAGAGGAAAAAAATTAGAATATAGTGGTAACTATAGTGGTAATTTTCAACTTCCAG